TAAATTACCCTCTCACAACGCATAGGCTAAGTGACCCACTCATAACGCATAGGCTAAGTGACCCACTCAGAACGCATAGGCTAAGTGACCCACTCAGAACGCATAACACATTCTTTTGTCGCTATGAAATGAAAATGGAATATGAAAGATCGCTGTTGACCACATGCTATTTAAAAACAAAACAAATGCCCCGTTTCATCGCATTCAGAGTTGGGTAGTAAGAGATTAGGGACAAGTTGAAGCTCAAACCGGTGTGCACGTTTAGCCACGGTTTCCAGTTTGAACGACATGTTTCCTGGAAACGGTGTGCAACGGGGTTTGAGATGCGTTTTCTCTTGTTTGGTGGGTGTGTCAAACATGTCAGCCCAATCAGCAGCAACATGTATATAAACCACACGGTATTAAAGAGACAGCTGCACAATTAACATCCAAATAAATTCACAAGAGCAAGTATATTGTTTGCACATGTTTATTTACATTAAAGGCAAAATAACTGAAATAATAAGAGCACAAGTATAGATCTGGAACTTCTTTAAGTCTGTCTAAATATCATTTAGTAATTGCAATGTCTTCTGGTCATATCCTTTCCTGTGCTAGACACTGATTAATGTAACATAAATACTATACATATTTATATATTTTGCTATTGTATTATGGAGTGACACTTTCATAAACTTTTCTATACCCCTCTGATTATATAATGGTAAACATTACAATATCATAGCACAACAACAGTGATCAGCAATAATGATAAGCCTAATACTCAAACCCCTTCACTCCATTGGGATGTTCTCTTTTATTCTGGAGGGCAAGGGCAGTGACTGCACCATCGAGTGTATTCTGCAGTATTAAACACGTATTTATACCGGTTTCATCAGGCTCCGAGAATTCTTCAGAAAGAACACAAGGAATGGCCTTCTCAGCCGCCATAGCTGCAACTCTTGCGTCATCAGAACAGGGTTCAACGCACCACCGTTTCCGTTTAAAAACACGTTTTGCACCGTTTTGTCAGGGCTGAACGCAGCACAGGCTACATGTAATCTGGATGAAGTAATCCGATTCCAAAAATTAAGCACTTGTAGATTAAGTTACATTTTAAAATACTCATAAATAACCTACAGTTACTTTTTTATGGATTACATGATTACTTATTATTCGCACAATAGCAATAAATTATTTATAATGTATTGATTCTCCCTAATTCCTCTTTTTCTTATTTAAAATTTTAAAATAGCCTTTACTGCTTATATACTCTCAGAAAGTCATTCACACAGAGATCAGTCAGGTGGCTACACAGCATTTAACCAATGGATTTACAAAAATCATTTCATGTTTAAGAAGTGTTTCAATATTGCATCAACTGAACACATTCATTTTTATTTGAACCATGTATTTCTATGTCTTTAGTAGGCTTTTGTCTTTCAAACACATTCAAATGCACAAATTGATCCTCTTTCTCCTAATATATTTACTTGAAGTTCCCCTGAGATTTTAAAATAAATATATTTGAATAATGAAGCATTACATTTGCATGTTCATGGTTCTCTGGCGTTGGTTATGGTCACATGACATGCAGGTGAACCAATAAAATATTTAAATTTTCATTTTGACTGATTTCATAATGACTCAATTTAACATTAAATTTAACTCACCCTCCAGTTCCCTCACAACCGTAATATAACGTTTAACGCACTTCAGTTTGAATACTGAATGGAAATATTTTCTTCATCTTTGTATTTTGTATCAATATGGTACACGATTATCGATATGCGATAAAAGTAATCTAACAGTAGTCTGATTATGTTCGCCTACCTGAACTGTGTAATGTAGGTAATGGATAGTGTTGGGGAAAGTTACTTTTAAAAGTAATGCATTACAATATTGCGTTACACCATTAAAAAAAGTAACTAATTACGTTACTTAGTTACTTTTTATGGAAAGTAATGCGTTACGTTACTTTTGCGTTACTTTTTAAATCTGGACAGGGCTTGCTTGTTTGTTTGTTCTGTGTTTGGCAAATATAAAAGCCTTTTCACACCTAAATAGCCTTTACTGCTTATATACTCTCAGAAAGTCATTCACACAGAGATCAGTCAGGTGGCTACACAGCATTTAACCACTGGATTTACAAAAATCATTTCATGTTTAAGAAGTGTTTCAATATTGCATCAACTGAACACATTCATTTTTATTTGAACCATGTATTTCTATGTCTTTAGTAGGCTTTTGTCTTTCAAACACCTTCAAATGCACAAATTGATCCTCTTTCTCCTAATATATTTACTTGAAGTTCCCCTGAGATTTTAAAATAAATATATTTTAATAATGAAGCATTACATTTGCATGTTCATGGTTCTCTGGCGTTGGTTATGGTCACATGACATGCAGGTGAACCAATAAAATATTTAAATTTTCATTTTGACTGATTTCATAATGACTCAATTTAACATTAAATTTAACTCACCCTCCAGTTCCCTCACAACCGTAATATAACGTTTAACGCACTTCAGTTTGAATACTGAATGGAAATATTTTCTTCATCTTTGTATTTTGTATCAATATGGTACACGATTATCGATATGCGATAAAAGTAATCTAACAGTAGTCTGATTATGTTCGCCTACCTGAACTGTGTAATGTAGGTAATGGATAGTGTTGGGGAAAGTTACTTTTAAAAGTAATGCATTACAATATTGCGTTACACCATTAAAAAAAGTAACTAATTACGTTACTTAGTTACTTTTTATGGAAAGTAATGCGTTACGTTACTTTTGCGTTACTTTTTAAATCTGGACAGGGCTTGCTTGTTTGTTTGTTCTGTGTTTGGCAAATATAAAAGCCTTTTCACACCAAACGTGAAATGAATGCGCCTCAGGCTGAAGGGAAAGTACAGTAGAGTGCAGAAGAAGACATTTCAACACACTTCAGCAGTAAAAGAAGACTGTTTTTCTAGAGTAATTTGTGCTTGTTAGTACGCTTGAACCGGATCATCGAAGCAAATAGAATGGGATTAAATACATAAAGCATATTTGTGTTGTTTAACATTTAATTATTGCAGGTTTGCGTCATATTCTGAGTTGCATTATTTTTATTCATTTTGAGGAATACTGAATCTGTGTTTTTGTTTTGTGTGAGTGAGATGAATTAATGCATATTCATATTTATTTTAGAGCTACAGTAACATCTGATTTCTCTCAGCATGGGGACAGCAGAGCTGCCAATCAATAAAATGGAAAAAAGAAAAAGTAACTCAGATATTCTCTTGTAAATGAAAAAGTAATGCGTTACTTTACTGGTTACTTGAAAAAAGTAATCTGATTACGTAACTCGCGTTACTTGTAATAAAGCGTTACCCCCAACACTGATAACGTTATAACTAGAGTTTCCTTCGTGTAATTTGGAATCAGAAACGGATTACAATTTGTAAGTAATCTACCCATCCCTGATCGCGACTGATTCGGTTTGAAAGGTTATTAATAGCATGTCGCCTATATGAAGTTATTGGCTCCTGTACGTGTCACTCACAGTGAGAGTGTGTGTGTGTGTGTGTGTGTGTGTGTGTTGAGATGGGTAATGTGCGCGACAGGAGAGCACGCTTTCTTCTCATCTCCACACACTTTCGCAAGATCCGTGTGTGAAATGCGGCTTACACGGAGACGGTGGACTATCTGCACCATAAGCATCCTGCTGATATTCTACAAGACGACAGAGATGAGCAGAAATGAAGCGCATCAGAAGACAGGACTGACAGGGTGAGGCTCTTCTGCTGTTACAGAATTACCTCTCCACCGAGTCTGATTATGTGCAACTCATTAAACGAGACGTTCATTTATTTAATAAACCTTCTATTGCAAACTATAGTTCACGAGCCCCGCTGTTGCTCCATCTCAATTAAATTAAGATCGATTCACAGTCTGACTGTGCTTTGTTTGAGTCGAAATGGCCATTTTATTCTTACACCCCCTTGTGAAAAAGACGTGTAATTCATTGAATGTGCCATTGTAGTGATATTTTTATATAGCCTAGACTACTTTTAAGTATATTTTCATACACTTTTATATATTAATCAACTGTATTTGTTGATAATATTTCATTAATTAACTTAATAGAGTAGGCTACACTGTTTCATCTGTCATTTTTAAAAGTCATTATGTAACATAACAAATATTAGGCTAATAACATGACAAGCAAGTTTCAGTAGAAACAACATTATATTTTAGTTACCGTAAATGCTCCTCAGGTTACATTATGACCATGCTTACATGAAATTACATAGCATATAAAATTCAAAAAATTTAATAATTTCTAACTAGTTGCGATAACATGCAATTTAGTGTCAGAAAGCATTACATTCAGGTTGCACTTAATTATATACATTTTTTAATTTGTACTGTTTAAGAAGTATGCTAAAATGTATAAAAGGCCTACATAAAAAGGCCTTCACTTTTCTTCTTGGCACGCTTTCCTGTCATTGACATGTCAGATCTTTGCATCAGTAAATCTATTATTATAATGCCTAAACATAAGCGTGTGTCAAAAAAACTCTTGTGTACGTTTTATCCGAATGTTTTAAGTTTGAAATGCAAGGTAAATTTAGATGACTCACTGACAAACTTGCACTTGTTTTGTTCCATGAACTGAAAAAAAATGTGGTCAAGTTCATACTTGCTCATAATCGGCTTCACTTTAGCATACACGCACGCGCACAGCATTGGGCAATTTTAGTTTTTCACCATAGATGAGTTAATGAACTTTATTTTGGTGCCAAAAGAACATAGAACACGCACTTTTCAGATGACTTTGTGATTTGTTTCTGACGTGTGTGTGTGTGTGTGTGTGTGTGTGTGTGTTGCCGGGTAAGTGAGAGGACAGCAGACAGCTTCTGCTCATCAGATGTGGTTTCCTTTTGTATCTTGCAGACTCGTTGCGCATGATTTAAAAACAGAAGTGGAAAAATGTAAGAGTAAATGTCAACTGCTTCTGAAGTTAAGTCTGCTGTTAGGTTTCGATTTGATTTCATATGATATAAAGCTTTCGACGCCTTGCAGAGACAGTATATCTGTAGATCTGTACAAGCTCGCCCCTCAAAGAAAAACAAAAGTTTGTTAAAAAGTGAATAACAAAAACGTTTAGTAAATTTTCTTACTTATATTTGTTTTTCAGTACAAGTATGCAAAAATTAAATCAAGATACATTTAGAAGCAAAATTACATACTATAAGTGTTGTACTCTAAAAAATTATCAAACTAAGTTTATGAGTTTGTTTAAAATCTGCCAATAGGGTACGAAAAATAACCTTCAATTAAGTTTTTTCCCCCCTTTTTTGTTACCCCATTAATTTTAAAATTTAGCTTGGTTTAAGAATATTTAGATATTTGAACTGGAATTATAATTTTTTTTGCTGTGTAATGATGTAACGGCGTGGTGGATGAAGGATTGCAAGAGGTGTAAATCTATACACAAAATGCATTTATTAATGAAAACAAAGCTCAGGAACACAGGACTGCAGAGAATATACCATAGCATCTTACAAAAACACAGACAAAGCAAAACAAGACTGGACAAATGACAACTGAAACACAATATATTGGATAATGAGAACAAGAAGCAGATGTGCACCAGGGTTATTAAGGTTAACTGAAACTAAAACCAACAGTAAAGAAACATTTTCATTACTTGAAATAAACATGAATTGAAATAAATGATTAAAAATCACTTATTTCATTTCAGCTATATTTCTAATTTAGGTGAAGTACTAAAATATCTAAAAACTAAAACTTTAACTAAAATTTTAATTGAAACATAATAAAAGTAAAGGTAACACTTTATTTTAAGGACCAGTTTTCACTAACTAGCATATTGGTTGTTTATTAGTGTTTATAAAGCACATATTCTGCATGAGCACCCAATACTTAAACTTAACATCTACCTTACTAACTATAAATAAGCAGCTAATTAGGAGTTTAGTGAGGCAAAAGTCGCTGTTAATAGTGAGAATTGGAGGTTGTTTATTAGTGTTTATAAAGCACATATTCTGCATGAGCACCCGATACTTAAACTTAACATCTACCTTACTAACTATAAATAAGCAGCTAATTAGGAGTTTAGTGAGGCAAAAGTCGCTGTTAATAGTGAGAATTGGACCTTAAAATGAAGTGTGACCAAAATCTAATTCAAAATATTAACAATATCAATATCACTGATACTAAAATAACACTGATATGCACAATCGATGACCAAGAAAACCAATCAAAAATAAATAAATAAAAACAATAAAAAAGAAGACCGATACAAAATACAAATTAAAGAATCCACAACTGCTTCAAAATAAGAGTCCGTGGAGAAAAATGTATAGAAGGCCTGTGTAAATGCCCTGGTCTCTGGAAAGAGGTTTGGTTGAGTGATATTTATCTGTTATTAGATTAGTCTGATGGCAACATGTCTTAAACTAACTTATTTATTTATTTAGATAGATGATGGACGGACGGACGGACAAATAGATAGATGGATGGACGGATCGACAGACAGACCGACGGACAGACAGATAGATCGATGGATGGATAGACAGACAGACAGACAGACCGACCGACGGACAGACAGATAGATCGATGAATAGATAGACAGACAGATAGATCGATGGATAGATAGATAGACGGACGGACAGATAGATAGATAGATAGATAGACGGACGGACAGATAGATAGATAGATCGATGGATAGATAGACGGATAGACAGATAGATCGATGGACAGATGGACAGACAGACAGAGATCGATGGACAGACGGACAGACAGACAGATGGACAGACAGATAGATCGATGGACAGATAGACAGACAGATGGACAGACAGACAGATCGATGGACAGACAGACGGACAGACAGATAGATCGATGGACAGACAGATAGATCGATGGACAGACAGACAGACCGATGGACAGACAGACAGATAGATCGATGGACAGACAGACGGACGGACCGACGGACAGACAGATAGATAGACGGACGGACAGACAGATAGATCGATGGACAGACAGACGGACGGACAGACGGACAGATAGACAGACAGACAGACGGACAGACAGACAGACAGATAGATCGATCGATGGACAGATAGACATACGGACAGACAGATAGATAGATAGACGGACGGACAGACAGATAGATCGATGGACAGACAGACAGATAGATCGATGGACAGACAGACAGATAGATCGATGGACAGACAGACAGATAGATCGATGGACAGACAGACAGATAGATACGGACAGACAGATAGATTGATGGACAGATAGACAGAGAGATGGACAGACAGACAGACAGACAGACGGACAGACAGATAAATCGATGGACAGATAGACAGACAGACAGATAGATCGATGGACAGATAGACAGACAGACAGATAGATAGATAGATAGATAGATCGATGGATAGATGGACAGACAGACAGATAGATAGATAGATCGATGGATAGATGGACAGACAGATAGATCGATGGATAGATAGCTGGACGGATGGACAGACAGACAGACCGGCGGGCGGGCAGGCGGGCAGATAGATAGATAGATAGATATGAAAGTGAAAAAAGTGAAAGTGAAGTGACATGTGGCCAAGTATGACCCATACTTGGAATTAGTGCTCTGCATTTAACTCATCCAAAGTGCACACACACAGCAGTGAACACACACACACCGTGAACACACACCCAGAGCAGTGGGCAGCCATTTATGCTGCGGCGCCCGGGGAGCAGTTGGGGGTTCGGTGCCTTGCTCAAGGGCACCTCAGTCATGGTATTGAAGGTGGAAGAGATAGATAGATAGATAGAAACCAGTACTGTTCACTGTATGATCCTTTCTTTTTGTTATGAGAATACATTAATGAGTTTGACTACATGAACACAGTGTCGAACCCAACAGAATTATCAGCACTTGTGTGAATAGTTACTATGCCACATTTCTGTTTGAACAGGAAGTCTGAGCCCAGTTCTACTAGACTGATGGTCAACGGCTCCAAGAAACTGTTCAGCTTTAGTTTAAGTGATCTGAGTGACATGGGAGTGGGATGGAAGATTAATGCCACCATTGTGACCATCATAAGGTGAGTAACCTGCACGAATTTAAAAATGCATACAGCACATAAAGCACAGATTCGAGAGGGACAAGTATTAGAGATATTGAGTGCTATGACTCGCTCAGAGCATGACTTCATAGGGTCATTTTTAGAGCATGTTTGGATGGTATGGTTATGAACTAATGAGTAATCTATTGTCCTGATGTGCTTCAACACGTGGAAGGAAGGACGTGCTTCGCTTCTTGGATGCGGAGAGAGACGTGTCTGTTATCAAGAGCAGTTTCAAACCGGGCGATATCATCCACTACGTTCTGAACCGGCGCAGGACATTCAATGTTTCTCAGACTCTACACAGTTTACTTCCCGAAGTCTCTCCACTAAAGAACAAGACGTTCAAGACCTGTGCTGTGGTGGGGAACTCGGGCGTTCTCCTGAAGAGCGGGTGTGGGAAGGAGATAGACAGCCATGATTTTGTTATACGGTAATGTACTTACTACTTTGCGGTGATCTAATCATTACCATCTTATGGCAAGGCATGCAGTCTAACAAGGTCTAATGGTCATTTATCTCTCACTGTATCGGTGTTTTCCCACTGGTAACTGGGCTTGAATACTATTTGATCCCATTTTTGGAAATCTGAACCAGGAACAAAAGCTCAAAGTAATTTAGAGCTTCACGTGACTTGTACATTCTGTAGTACTGCAGTATTTTCACTGTTATCACCCCAAAATGAAAACCTCACTTCACGTCTTTCTAAACCAGTGTTTTTTTTGGTCACACTTTATTTTAAGGTTCAATTCTTGCTATTAACAAACTATTAACTATGACTTTTGCCTCAGTAAACTCCTAATTAGCTGCTTATTTTTAGTATTCTGTTTTTGACATATTTTTAGTATTTAGTGTTACTGTGTTAGTTATTTTAGTACTAAGTTAAAGTAAATGAAAATGAGAAAATTAGTTGTCTAACTGAAATAAAATAAGTTAAAATTGTTTTTTATATTTTATTTCATTTCAGTTACTTTTTGTTTTATGTTAAGTAATGACATTTTTATGGTTTAGTTTTAGTTAACAATAATAATTCCTGTTCCAGACTTATTCATGAAACAAAAATGAAGGTATATTTAATATCTGGTATATAAATAAATGGTGACTGAAGATGTTGAATGCTATGTATGACAAAAAAAACAAAACAAACCAAAAATAAATCTAAATAAATAAATAAATATATATATATATATATATATATAAATAGCATGTACAACTTGTGCACTCTAAAGGTCCTTGTACACAGAGTCCAAATATTCATCCGAAATTTTCGCACGTTAAAAAATAGATATGACCTCATGTTGTGTCAATCACGTTTACACACTACCTCCGAAACTTTCGTCTGTCATAAAAAAGAAAATCGGATTGGGTTCGATTTTGTGCGGTTTTCGCATCCGTAGCATGGATTTTGAGAGGAAAAGAAGACGAATATGAAAAAATGCATATGAAAATTTCAGACTCAGTGTACGAGGACCTTTTGTAGCCAGCTTTATATGAAGAACACACTTGAATTTTAAGTAATTATTCACTGATAATATCTACTTTGAATCTCATCAGCACTTGCATTAAAGGGTTAGTTCACCCAAAAATGAAAATTCTGTCATTAATTACTCACCCTCGTGTCGTTCCAAACCCGTAAGACCTTTGTTCATTTTCGGAACACAAATTAAGATATTTTTGATGAAATGTGAGAGCTGTCTGATCCTCCCATAGACACCAACACAACTGAAATGTTCCCAAGTCCAGAAACATAGCAAGAGCTTTTGAACATTTGAACATTTCAGTTGTGTTGCTGTCTATTGGAGGGTCTGAGAGCTCTCAGATTCCATCCAAAATATCTTAATTTGTGTTCTGAAGATGAACGAAGGTGTTACGGGTTTGGAACGACATGAGGGTGAGTAATTAATGACAGAATTTTCATTTTGGGGTGAACTAACCCTTTAAAGTCAAATTTGCTGTATTAAATACTCAGGCTTGTTTCACATGATTGAATGTGATTTTTATGGTGGTTCTGTGGTGCTCAGTAGCTTCAGTCCACATTATTAAAGAGCAGTATTAAAATATCTCAAAGCATCTGTGTTTCGAAAAAAGCTTCAAAAGTTAAATTTTTAGTTTGTTCTTTAAATTTGTCTTATTTTCCACACATTTTTGAAGAGCCCTGTCTCTGACCATTACCTGTTCTTTCATCCCTGAGCAGATGTAACCTCGCTCCTCTAGAGGAGTTTGCAGATGATGTGGGTTCGAGGTCAGACTTCACCACTATGAACCCGTCCGTGATCCCGCGGGTGTTTGGGGGTCTGAGCGACGAACGACAGCGGGTGCAGTTCATCCGGCGTCTACAGCAGCTAAACAACAGCGTGCTCTGGATCCCGGCCTTCATGGCGAAGAGTGGAGAGAGGCATGTGGAAATCGTGAATCAGCTCATTCTTAAACACAGACTCAAAGTGCGCACGGCATATCCTTCACTCCGCCTGATCCACGCCGTACGAGGGTGAGTTAGGACATTTCCAATTCCAGGTTTTCATTTGATCTGAAGTAACACGAAAGAGTGCAGAACTGTAATTCAAATTCATAAGTAATGAAGTCAAATTTTAAATGAGTCAAAATTCCAAAATTGATGTAATTTTGATTTTTAAACTTTTAAATTGGCTTTTCTAGTTAAAAATCAAAGTGACATCAATTTTGGAATTTTGATTAAATTCAAAAAACATTTTAAAAGTTGGAAGATTTTAAACTCTTAGGGCCAGATTTACTAAACAGGGCAAATTAGCATTAGAACGCAAAAAAAAGCGCAGATGGGAGTGGAAAATTCTGCTTGTGATTTACAGACAACGCACACATTAAAGAACACAGACGCAGCCAGATCATTTCCATGATGAGCAGCGCAATCTACCAAGTGCAGCGCAAATTACCGCCTGCTTTAAGACATGCTTTTTTGGGTCATTAAATAATGACGCAAATATTAGCGCAAACGTTAGTAAATAGCATTGTGTGATGCATTTGAATACTCTCCTCCCATAAATTTTGCGTCTGAAAGGGGAACACCTACAAATACATATTCAATAAGGTCAGGCGCAAAAATAACTGTGTCCACGCTTTTTCAGCTACAATTTTTCACTGTGCGTCAATAGTAACTATTTTAACGCCAAAAGACGGTTTGCTCTGGTACTGTTACGGGGCTGACAAGACTTGAGACGTGCGGATCCATGTGCAAGCTATTTATTAGCAGAAGACAGAGACATGGTCATAGAACAGGCATGGGTCAGAGAATGGCAGACAGGTATAAGGCGGGCAAGACACAAGAAGAAACCTAAGGCTAACGGAGGTCAACGATCGGCAAACAGAATCAAAGGGGCGAGACTAGAGGGATAAGTCCAGGTACAAGGCAAGGTCCAGGCAGGGGCAAACAGTATCAAAATACGGCAAACGAGAGGAGGAATCCGAGAGACGCAGGCGAAGATCAAGAAACGAGAACACAGAGAAGGCAAGACTAAGGTGAGGCTATGACAAACTAAACAGGCTCCGTAGTGTAGCTATCGCTAGGGGAGTGATAAACGCTAAACAATACTCGGCAGAGGGAAGGGATCAGAGTGAGTGTTAAATAGGGAGTGAGTCATATGAAACAGCTGTGTGCAATCAGTGCAATGAATGATGGGATATGTAGTCCGGGGTGATATGCAACAGGGTGTAGTGCGAGAGTCAATGAAAATGGAAAGGGTGACCTCTGATGGCTAGCAGACGGAAGTTCATGGACCGGATTCGTGACAGGTACAAGCTATTAGTAAATCTGGCCCTTAGAAGTTGTGATTTTATATTTCATAAAACATGGAAGACCATTTATAGTACTGAAAATTGGTACCAACTGATAATTCAAAAACTACTAGCAATGTCTGTTTATTTCTTAGGTACTGGCTCACAAATAAGATAAATATCAAACGACCCTCTACTGGATTATTGATGTACACAATGGCTACGCGCTTCTGTGATGAAATCTACCTGTATGGATTCTGGCCTTTCCCCAAAGATGGCAACGGAAATCCTGTTAAATATCATTACTATGACGGACTTAGATATCGCTATTTTTCTAATGCGGGTCCCCACCGCATGCCGCTGGAGTTCAAAACGCTGAAGAGACTGCACAGCAAGGGGGCGCTCAAACTGACCACGTCGAAATGCACACACCCTTGACGTGCAGAACTCAAGTGAAGACTAATGTGTTTCGAGCTTTGGAGAATGAGTGTGCCTTCAACTGCAAACTGGTCATCCTGTGACACTTCTGATTCGTTTACTATAGAGAAAGTGCAATGCTTTACACACTGAACCAACTACTGTTGTTTCCAAATGACAAATGAAACAGTCCTGCTTAGTGCGTTGACATTACAATCTTGGTAAGTGATCTTGTCTGAAAATGTCTTACACAAAAGTTGCCAAAGATACTGTATTTTACATAATTCTTTTTTGATTCACACAATTCAGAGACTCCCAACCTGGTCACACATGTCCAAACAGCTACTTGAGCAGGTTCTTTGCAGATCCCTTTTAAGGGCAAAAAAAACTCCAAAAGTCAAATCGTGTGTAAAAAAAGGTTTTATGAGTTTGCGTTGAATTCCAGTCATAGCATATGGTAACTTGGCGAGTCTGATTTCACCCACAGTATCCACTTTTTAATTGACTGGAAATTTTAATAATAAGTGTAAATGATCTTCTATTAATGTGAAATAAAAGGAACACATGTCTGGTTGAACCTTATGGTTACACCTAAAAAAGGGAGCCACTGGTATATATATCAGTCACAGATTACTGAATGTATTACATGTATGTTGTCAAAGTCATTTAGACCAATCACATGTACTGCTGTATGTCAGATTGTATTGGCATGCCTCACATTATTTATGTGACATTACATTGTGTGTGTTACTGGTGAGTTATGTACAAACATTCTGAGCAGATTATTGATGCAGGATTATTTTTATTTTAAGACATGAGCAAAAAATGTAAATGTATAACGTTAGGCCTCTCTGAATGAAGACATGCAGTGCCTTAGAGTATTCATTTACAGTTTTGTTTTTCTACTTCGGTGTATTTTTATTTATATTGTAATGTATTTTGTATTTTAAACAGATGTTAAATGCGTTTTTAAGCATTTTTGTGTTTTTATAGTATTTGTCTTGCTGCATTAATTTGTTTTGACAGCTTTAAATTGTGGATTTAAAGCAAAAATCAACTTCATCTCCGGAATCTGTGATTATGTTGACATTTCTGATTTCTTGACCACTGTGAAATGACATAGGCCAACATATTTTTTAATTGTTTTGGAATTTTGCAAAATAATCTTACTTATGGAGGCCTGTTTTCAAAACAGTAAAACAAAAATATTATTGTAGTTCAATTACTCTAAATTGTACTTGTATTTATGTACTTGTATTTATAAAATAAACAAAAATATACTGTACGGTATATTTTAGTACAGTATAGTGTATTTTACCAGTCAAGACTCTTTCAGAAAACTGTGTAATGAAACTCATAGTACAAGAACAGCTTCTGTGAGGTAGAACATAATGCAAGTCTGTATTTTGGCAAGCTTCATGGGCTCTTTACATGCAATACAAGCACTTCAATGAACAGACTACATCAAATTCTAGGGAAATCATTAGAGGATATTTACACTTGGTCACTACATGTGTTTTACTGATCAAATAGCTATCCAGTCATTAGGTGAATCCAATCTGAAATGCATTTCAGCCAAGTGTAATGAATCTGGTTGTTCAGGCCACATAAATGAATGATTAATGTAATGAATTAAAATGAATAAAGTGACCAAGTATAAATACTCCCTTAGGTTGTAAAAAAAGATCTTATCAAACTGTAAACTGGAAGACTTTAGAGTCCAATACTAATAAAAATAGTAATACAAAAAAACATAAATGTAGCATTAGTTATACAAAGAATAGTAAAAGTCATAATAACGTATAAATGAGCTAAAATAAGAATTCAGATATTCCACTGCATCCTATCGAAAGAGGACTAAAGGTTTGAAGGAACTGGCCTTAAAGAAAATGTGTGCTATATACAAAAACAGTGGCAGTGTCTTTACATAATTAGCAAATGCTGAAAATGGAAAACATCAATTCACAAACAGGTTTACAGAAATGCATTCCATCCTTCTTTCTTAACCTGTCCTCTGAATGCAAAGAAACATGCAACATCTGAACGGATAAGTGGACCTTAAACAATCATCATTTAAAACGAAAGACTGAGAGAATTAGAGAAAAGAGTTTGATGGTTTCTACTTCTATTTCTATGCTTCCAGCTGCCGTCACTGCACAGGTTGCCATGACAACTTCATGCACTTGCTTCTGCTGCATTGTCAAAAAGAAAAGCACTTGAATATTATTCGTGGAGATATTTTAGGTTCCATCGTGACTATTTAGACTAGATGATTTGATCATTGTAGTTTCAATTTATTTAATTGTTCTAATTTGTATTCATACCGCTCAATTATCAATTTGTCTTTTAGTTTTTAGTAAATGAGCAAATGCACTTCAAAGCCAATCTCAAGATCAGTTCAACATAGACGTTTATCAAAACAGTAAAGATCTGATTACAAGTTTTAGCATTGTACAGCTACACTTTCTGATTTTGCACTCGATGCTAATTTGGCGACATGCATTTTTGTAAGGCTATGCATTTGAGCCATTTAGGCATAAGAGCTTTCACCATCATCAACCTGGTCACTTTTGAGGACAAAGTGATGCCCACCAAGACCCAACCTACTAACCTGGCATGATTAAACTAGCCTGAAGTCTTCTAATAAACTTATTGTGCACAATGTCTGGATATTCACAGACCTAATTTTAAGAGACAATTAGGAGATCCTCATGCTATGGATTGAACACGGTTGTGCTTGTTGCGAAACACCAGAATGTCCTGTAATCAATCTTGTTCACATTCTTGTTTCCTCGGATGGGCGACTCATGTAGTCCTGAACTGCCTGTTGCAATGGCAGCCATTTTGCTGTAGATGATTTTATTGCACTAATCCATCTGAAAACAGAAGACAAAAGGATGATGGTAATTCCTGCCATTTCACCCATGTGCTGCCTAAAGCTTGCCTGTCAGAAATTAAGATTTGCATACAAAAATGCATACTTTTTTTCATATCATGGGCAACAGGATTTTCAAAAGAGGGCTTCTCGTAGATGATCCGTTTCAAGATCAAGGAATGGTTCACCCAAAAATGAAATTTTGTCATCATTTACTCACCCTCGTGTCGTTCGAAACCTGTATAAATTATGTTGAACACAAAATGAGATATTTTGAAGAACCAAACAGTTGTCGGCCACCATTGACTTCCGAAAGAAATACTGTAGAAGTCAATGAGGACCAACAACTGCTTGATTACCAGCATTCTTCAAAATATCACACAAAACTATTCCTTTAATATATTTTTTTCATTGAGCCATTCTGTAGGCTGAATTTAAAAGAAATAGTTTTCAGCCCTTTTGACAGTCCCACTTGTTCGAAAAGTTTAATTGTAAAATAATACTGTCAAAATCTTTACTGTTTTTTGTGCATGCAGTCTTGACTGGCATCATGAAGTGGATTTAATGCATTTACTGAATGCTTTTTAAATGCATGATTGAACATTATTCAAGATCAAGTTAATTACCGTTTGTTCTCGTTTGCATTCTCTGCACAGAGGTAGAACACTTTAAACTCTTCAGACGGAGGTCTGAGCTCAATAGCAGATCTTCTGGATCCCACTGGCTGATCCCTCACTGTGTAGCCATGCAGGTAGATTCCTCCTGCAACAAGGCAAATGAGAGCTACTGTATTAGCTGTCATAGCTATACTAGAATGAAAAACTGAAAACATTTGCATGAAAGAACATAAACTGTGAGTTTTGATATATACACTATTTGGACAAGAGTATTGGGACACCTGACCATCAGGTACTTTAATGTCATTGCATTATACAGAGACATTCATATGGAGTTAGTCCCTCCTTTTGCAGCTATGACACTTCCACTTTTCTGGGAAGGCTTTCCATTTTTGCCTGTCGAGCATTTGTAAGGTCAGGCACATACACTACTGTGCAAAAGTCTTAGGCCATTAGCATTCTCACCACCAAAAAAATGGTTTTAAGTCAATTGTCAATCTTTTGCTGTAGTGTCTCAGTAGGAAATATCAGTTTACACTCTAAAAAATGCTGGGTTGTTTCAACCCAATTTTGGGTCAAATATGGACTAACCCAACTTTTGGGTTAAAAATGTAATGTAAAAGTAGAGTGTACATTTCACAAACATTCTTCTTGCCATTAACTGTAATCATAATCATATCATAATTGTGAACCGTTCCAGCAGTTGCACTGTAACAGATGTACCTATCGCGCAGGTTGACCGAATGCTGGCGTAGAAATAGAGGCATCCGTCTTTCAGCACACTGTAGTGCTGCACCCACGAGTCCTTGTTCCTGTCCAGCTGGTGCAGTAACCCAAGGCATTCTGGGTTCTTGACTGCCAGAGGGGGCAGGTTTGAGTTGTGCCGAGTCACATCCACCCACACGTGATTCTGCCTCAACAAGCACCATCATTAGCATTATGAGCATTGCCACAACAACATCAGTCGCTTTCAGCCAATGCGATTCAGTTTATTAATTGATCCTGTTCATTTGTATTATTAGAGTTGAAATTTGGAACAAAATACCCAATTTTAGATATGTGTAATGATGCCGCAGCAAATAATGCATGCACAAATGATTAGGAAGTTACCTGTGTAATAGGATGAACTGCTCTACCCATAGCCTCCAGCCACCTGAGAAACAAACAATTACAAACTAATTTGTTATTTACCAGATGCTTGTTTTTTGTATGCAAGTTATTAATCACCTTACAGTATCGGCAGTCCCTCTGAAACAAGCTGGATGGCACGATGCAAACAGCAACATTAAGTCTTGTTGCATGGGAAAGGCTCTATGAGCCTAATTCCTTTCAGTGTTGGGGAAACTACTTTGAAACACTTCTACTTTGAATCCTGATTCCACCTTCAAGTACCACCCCTACTTTATGTGATGCTGGAGGATGATTGTATCAGATTGTACCAGTTTTTTCAACTGCTTACACACAAAATCTTTACTTGTCGCACAATTTCTGAAACCTGACACTCAAACAGCAGAACCACACACCAAATCTGCAAAACCATACGCTAATTCTCAGCCTTTGACTCAGTTTTCAATTTCATAAAATACTTTTTGCAAAACACAACACACAATTCTCTGTGTAACACACAAAATCTAACAGGAATTAATATTATGGAAAAAGTGTTTGCAAATGTTTGCTATTGAGACGTGTTTGTGATATTTTGCTTCATTTTGCAAGAGATGTGAGGCACTTTGCATTTTGTGTGTGCAATTCTTGGATTTGTGTGTAAAGTTTCGAGGCAAGGTTCTGAAAATGTAAGCAGTTGAAAAATCTGTAATGAGCTCACAAATTTTAATTTCCGCCATTGGGCCATTTCTTTACCTTTGTTAGAGCAATTTTTATGATTATCTTATTAAATCTATCTTAGTTAATAACCGTTTATGAAATAGTTAATTGTTTTTATGCATTAGATTAACTTCTCAGCATGAAAACAAAAGTAAAATAAGAATAAATTATATACAAAACATGAGCAAGGGACGTTGCCCATCATTGAAGCGCTGCATGACTTCAGTCTAGCGTGAGGTCATCGAGTTCTGCACTCTCGCAAAAACTCCCTTTATACCCTTGAATCTGTTTACACTATGAAATTCATCTCTTGTTTACATTGTACCTGCATCTTTTATGCAAGAGAGCAGAATTCAGGAAGTGAGCTGATCCGATTGGCCATTGTATCTTGAATTTGGGTGCATTTTTGGTCATTTCGGTGGCATTTTTGCCCCATCTTTTGATGAACGCAACTTATACAGTATTACACCATAAGGCTGATATAATAAGGGTGTTATCACATCCAAGACACTGAGTCATACATTTCTGTAAAGCTGCTTGGAAGCTATATAAAAAAACTGAACTGAGTTTAGACATACAGTAAATAAGAATATAAATAAATAGAAATGTATTGTGAGGCAAGATATTAAGACTTGTTTTCAGAGAATGTATTTTGAATAAGAGTTAATTTTGTCTTCCTGCACTGGCACATTTTTTTACTTGCTGTAATAAATAATAATAATAATATTTACAAGTTAAAAAACAATCTGCTTAAATATTTGCAAGTGTATTAAAATTCAGTATATTTAGTACTTACAGTATATTCAAGATACAATCTATGTGTTGCTTCTTAAGTTTTGTTTCTTCAAGAATTTTCGATATGTTTAAACGTAAGTTGCAGTGTACTCATAATTTGAAGTGGTTAGTCTAGAAATGCTTTTGAAAATATTAACTACACTACAAGCTAACCAAACGTAGCTAACTACACATAGGTCTATCATCTCGGCTATTTAAGGAGGCAATATCTTTTAAAATATAAACAATTAAAGTGTGTAATCAGCAGTTTTAAGAACAGAATTTATCTGGCATAAAAACAAGCAAGGAGGTCTATGAAAAAAAAACTTCTGAAGGCAAGGATGACAGCATTAAAGCAGCACTGAGTAACTTTCCAGCCGGAGTTACTTCTCTAAGATGATGTCTCTGGCGATTCACGCAGGTATGTGCTACTCCGCAGCGGTGACGACCCGACCAGGCCACAATAGTCCAAATAGAAGAGATTCGGAATAAGACAAAAACGCGGTTTGGAAGATTAATTCATGATGTACTCGCTCATTATATACATTTTGTACATTTTGAACACAGAAACAGTTACATAGTGCTGCTTTAAACCTTCAAAATAAATTTACACTAAATATAGCCATTAAAACACACACAAAAGCATTTAACTATATATTTCAATATCAAAACAGTAAGCCGTGAAGGAACCATAAATCAGTGTTTATTTAGCAGACTAACCAGTTTACCAAAATGACTTTACATTGCTGCTTCATAGTGTAGTGCAGGGCTGTCCAAACTCGGTCCTGGAGGGTCGGTGTCCTGCAGAGTTTAGCTCCAACCCTAATTAAACACACCTGAACCAGCTAATCAAGCTCTTACTAGGCATAGAAACTTCCAATCAGGTGTGTTGAGGCAAGTTGGAGCTAAACTCTGCAGGACACCGGCCCTCCAGGACCGAGTTTTGTTATGGTACACCATCACTGCAGCTTGTTACTGGAAGAGCCAAACTGTTTTGAGATCAGCTGCAGTGTCACACAGTCTGACTACGTTTAATAAATCTCTCCGTTTATAAAAGTACTGTACATTCTCACCTCTTCATCTCTTGGTTTGACGTGGCACACAGGTAGTAAACTCGGTTCCCAGACACTGGGCAGCATCTGAACACAAACGGCTTTCCTAAACTGCTGTCGGCCTCCACCAGCGCCCCTTCCAGACTCACCACAGACAGAGCTCGGCTCTTCCCTTCATCCTGCCAACGAGAAACCAAGTTTATATGGCACTGCACATTCAGATTTTGCAGGTTCATCTGTCAGGTTGAAACAGAAAGCTGCACTCACACGCTTGTTTCTGTAGTAACAGAGGCAGCAGTCGTGTCTGAGCACGAACCACCTCTTTCTCCAGCCCTTCAGCAAACTGGACTGAGTTCTCTTATGCAAGTAACCCCTGCACGCCGGTCGAGGAGTGTTCGGCATTCGACCGATGTCCGAGCCAATGGTCAGAGTCAAAATGTCTGGGCCTTTATAATTCGAACCAGAAATCACACAAAACAATTAGACACAAACTGATGTCATGAAGTTATACAATAGCACACTTTATTTTGATAGTTCACTATAAAAACCATTGCAACTATACAGTATTGGGAAGGTTACTTTGGAAATGTAATAGGTTACAGATTACAAGTTACCCGGTTTAAAATGCAATAAGTCGTGTAACTATTTCAATTGCTTTATTCAAGTAATGTAACTGATTACTTTTTATTACTTCTCTAAATTTCTAATATTTTCAGCTGTTAATCATTTGCAAACATGTAAACCAGGCAGGGTTAACCTTACACCTTACTGTCAGACTTTCGAAATCCTTCATCACTTGAATTAAGATTATAATAATTGCATTTTAAAGCACAGCCACCACAAAATCAGACTTACTTCAAAATCATTCTGAGGTTAAATGCAGCTATTAATATAGCTATGATACAGTTTTTGCTAATCAAATCTTGCATAGGCGTCTATTCTTGCATTGTCCATCTGCTCATGGTAGATTTTAAAAACTAATCCATGTGATTAAAGGATGGAAGTAGAGCTGTTCCAACCCGATCTCAAGAGAAAATCACTATTTTACAAATCGGTGATTTGGTGTGAATTTGCGTGATTTTTTTGAAACATGCAAGTTGTATAAAAACGTAAGAATGAAGTATCACGAAATACACAAATGACACTGTACATATTCATATGAATTGACCGACCGTTTGTTTTTAAGTGTTACTAATTGTACTGTAAGTGTTTTGACTGTTTAGTCATGAATTTGTGGCTATAGTTTTAGCACTTCAACCACAACAGCTCTTTTAGCAAAGTAATCTCATTCAAATCTGGTACATTTTCTTTTATGCATTTGGCTGACACTGTAATCTACGGTGACTTAAGGGTCACCAAGATTATTAACAATAAAGATGATGATAATTTAACTACAATGCATATTCAGTATTAGTACCGTGCTTTGAAGTTGCCCGTAGGGAGAAAAACCTATGGCTGCTCGTGAATTTACAGACATAGACATCAAGTTAAACTGCTAACTGTTACTTAACCAGTAACAGACCCTGTCAAAGTTGCAAAAAATGTCATGCAGGTTCATCAAATGATTTATATTTATAATGTGTAGCTCGTTGCACAAAGGCATGTTTAGACTTTAATGACGTATTTAAAATGTAGTGGATCTTCTCGAGTATGTCATCGCGCTGCAGCGAGAACAGTCTCCTGTGTACTGTAGTTTTGTCGTCTGTCTCTTTAAAAGCCTGAGCGCTTCAAAGCAGGATTGATTCTGATTGGCTCCGAATGTTGTTATCGTTCATCAGCTGGAGAACACAATCTTCGTGTGTTATCGTTATAGTTGTGGTGTGGGCTTCTCCTATTCCCTCTCTCTATTTGGTGTGAACAGGCCTTATTCAATGCCTTCAAGCTATTATTTTTACAAAATCTAATTTAGAAAATAACTAGTGAGTTTCTCATTCTTTTACTTTGACATGCACCAGATATGTATCCTTGATAATAACTTACTTGTGTCCACCTCAGTAACCACGATGGGTTTGGAGAACTGAATCCTGAAGCCCCAGGGATACTCGCCCATGCCTTTGCTGATTTTCACTGTCCGCTCACGAACTGAAATATATAATGCATCTTTAAACACTGCAAATCATAAATAGCCAGTCCTAGCCTATATTCATCCGAGAATGCCATGAACCCACTTGCTGCTGGTCGAGTACAGCTGCTGAGACAGTGTGCACTTTCATTCTGGTTAACTTCATCTCCATGGTACATCCATGATACTGAGTGAAAGGTTTCTGTGTAAAATCCTCTGTCCTCAATATCCCGCATTGACATGTCCACCGAACGAGTGTCCTCAGAGTTCATTGTGTCTTAATGACGAAAAAAGAAGACAATGTTTTAATTAAAATGCATTCTACCTACTGTAGCCTACATTTTGATAGTCAATAGTAATTTTCACAATAACTTTCTTAATACAAGTACCAAACAACCAAAAATATGCCAGAAATCTGGGGTATCCCTGTTGAAAAAAACCATCATATGCTGGTTAGGTATGCTTTGAAGCTGGGATGCTGGTTTGAGCTGGTCCTTTGCTGGTTTATGCTGGTCCTTTGCTGGTTTAAGATGGTCCTTTGCTGGTTTATGCTGGTCCTTTGCTGGTTTAAGATGGTCCTTTGCTGGTTTAAGATGGTTCTTTGCTGGTTTATGCTGGTCCTTTGCTGGTTTATGCTGGTCATGTGCTGGTCTTAAGCTGGTCGGACCAGTTTAGGACCAGCACATGACCAGCTAAGGACCAGCATAAACCAGCAAAGGACCAACTTAAACCAGCTCAAACCAGCATCCTAGCTTCAAAACATACCTAACCAGCATATGCTGGTTTTTTCAACAGGGATCAAACACACTAGTTGGGAGCTGAATGCAGGTGAGTCCGACTTGCAGAATAGTTTAAAGTGAATGAAATTAGTAAATTCTCTGTCCTCCTTTAATGAATAAGGCTACATTAATATATTATTCTAATGTTTAATATATTCAAATAGCATTAAGTAGAATTATTAGCTTCAGAAGAGCATGAGTAAACTGTGAATTTAGACTCCATGGTCACACTGGTTTAAATTCACTTTTTGTGACCTAAAATGAGTTGTCATAAATAGGAAGAAATGCATTGATTGCACAAAAACTTCCTTCGAAACCAATCGGCACATGAATTGAGTGTATATGTAAGTGAATACCTGATTCCTCTGTGATATTGCTAGTAATAGAGCTTCCTCCTGCAGAACTGCGCTGTTTGCTCTCCTTGAAGAGCTTGCGTCTCCTTGCCCAGTGGTCTGAATGCTCCTCTGAATCTTTATGAATGGAGTCCGTTGGAGGCCTGAGGTGCTCTTTGACCTCTAATGAATCTATGAATTATAAAATACACAAAAATCAGTAGGACTGATTACGTCAACATTGTAAAGCCAAAGCCAACAAAACACTGTTTTAGTCGTTTTCAGCTTCAGGGCACAGATTGGTGACCCAACAACACAGATCCAAATTTGATGATCCTACAAAATGACTGTAAACAAAAATGTCCAGAAATCTGGACAAAGTAAAACAATTCTCAAAATTACTGAATGGGAGAAATGTTTTTCCCCTTTCATGTAAATTCTTACCATTTTTAAAATGAACTAATGGTGCATTCAAGTCATGTCGGATAGATCGTATTTACGAGTTGAATGCACATGAACGCCACCACAAAGTCGTTATTACGAGTGGGAAACTCAAAATTTTCTTTAAGCCCCGAGTTTCCGAGTTGGGGGCGTGTCAATGAGAAACATGGCGGAATCGATGGATGCAACTTCTGTAGCTGACGGAAAATTTTTGCTTAAATTGATAGTTTAGTTGTCCTATAAACTTAAATTGGTCATGTTCTTGTTTCGCAGCTAGTTAATGAAATCCAAGTTAAAAAAATGCTATAATTTTTGCACCTATAGGTGAAAAATCTTTTGATTTGCCATGTTGCATGATGCATTTAGCTAGCAGCTTTTTTTAATCTCTGTATTTTAGTGTTTGTTGATGCTGAAAATCAGTTATACTGGGATCCTGGTCTAAAAAAAATATTAAAAACGCAATCGCCATCTTGTGCCGACTAAACTGACTTGAACGCACCTGATGTCATAATTACGACTTGTCAACTCGTAAGTACGAACGTCCCAGGAGGACTTGAACGCAGCATAAAACCGCCAGTAGGTGACGGCAAGTCACTGTTTTAATTAGTGAGTCACTGATTCATTCATTCAATGATTCAATACGACTGATGATTTAAACGATTCATTCAAAGCAAGTCACTTTATGAATGGGTCTTTGAATCATTGACTCAATCGATTCATTCAAAAAGGACGAATCATTAAAACACCGCTGTGACTTTTTCATTGGCAGAACAGAGCAAGTTGCTATCAGCAATATTGTGTCTAAAATGTGTGTCACTTAATATTAACGTAAACATTGAAAATTGTACTTATTTAAACTGTAATCAGAAAACCACAATACTATAATTGAAACAATTTAGCGAGAGAGTGAGTGAGTGAAACTGTGTGTGTCCATTAGAGAGTGAATATGTTGCGTTTCCGTCTCTCCAGCATTCAGAGATTTAAGGAGGTTGTGACCAACCAGTGAAAACCACTTTTAAGAAAGCATACTGTAAAATATTTCATTGCTTACTTTTTGAGGCACTTTGCCTTTCAGACAAGTCATTTTTATAAAGCTTGGCTGTAGTATAGACATCTGTGCTTGTTTTATCCAGGGGTTCATTTGGTTGCACTTCTCCAGACTGTTGAGAGGACGTGTCTATATGTAAGATTAGCATACTATTCGCAGAAGTTGTGGTTTTTCGTGCTTGTGAGGAATCCTGGAGCTCCTCCACCGCTTCTCTGATGCAGGCAAGGTCCTCTATTGGAGACGCAGTAGGAGACTCACCCACAGGGCTTAAAGCATCTATCTGATGCTCCTCATCAAATGAGAAGACATGCTCACAGTCCCCAGTGATTATTGTCATTACCGAACCTCTCCGTTTCTTTGGAGCATCGGCTTCGTCTCTGTCACACGTGTTATGCTTGACACCGTTGAATAATCCTTCGTCGATTTGTTCCTCAGAGTTGCACAGGGACGGTGGGATGACATGAATAAGAAGCTCCCTGTGATGTCTCTCCATGGTGTCACCTGGAGAAATGGACTCATCCAGCTCCAGCATCTCCTCGTCAAAGCCACTTTCATTGACTTCATTCAGCTCAGATGCACCATCTTGATCCGCACCATCAACGAGCATCAAACCAGAACTCGGTTGCTCCATCTCGTCCAGCTCTGCTGGCCCATGATATTGTTCGCCTCTAAAGAAGACTTCTTCTGGGCTCTCATCAGACCTGGATGGATAGAAGGGGTTCTTCATTGAGCGGTAATCTTTAAACTTGGGAATACAAGAGTCAGGACCTGTTGTGGAGCTTGAGCTTGGTCTATAGCTGCTGCTACTG